CCCCGCATGTGCCCCCCCTTCCCCGCCGTCCGATCCACTATCGTCTCCCTTCCAACAGGCCCCAGCCATCCCGAGGCTTTCCCTAGTGCCTCCAGCCGCTGCAAACTTTCGTCCTCCGCTCCTCGGCTTCGACCGCCCTTCTTGCCTCCGCTCCTCAGCTTCGACCGTCTTTTCCGCCGCCTCCGGATCCCATCTTCAACAACGTCCCCCACTTCCTCCGGCTGCGTTTTGACACCTCGACGAGTGCTAAGTCACTTTCACCCGATATCGCTTCGGCCTTCACCGCAGCCCCTGAGCCGGCACCATCCCTCCGGACTCCCTCCTAGTCGAGCTTGTGTATCTTTATATTTTGAGCTTTTTTCTTGTAAAGTTTTGCTTTATGTTTGATTTGCGCAGTGCATTTCTTTCTTTTGAGTCATCGTTGTAGCCGTCTCTTTAAGTTATTAAAAAAAATGTGTCTTACGTCGCGGTTTGGGTTAGCTCCGATATCTGTGTGTGTGTGTGTTTGTGCGTGTGTGTGTGTGAGTGTGTGTATCAGGGTATGTATATATATATATATATGTGTCTATATCTATATGTATCCATATTTGTATGTATATATATCTACATATATCTATATGTATATATATAGATATATATGTATCTGTATCTATATATATCTATATGTAAATATATAGATATATATACATGCATACATTGAGATATATATAGATACATATAGATATAGATACATATACATATAGAAAAATACATATAGAGATGCATACAGTTGTATATACATATACACCAAATGATGAAGGCTTTATGTGGGTAGTGCAGTCGCAAGATCATTCATATATGTATATATGTATCCATGTATGTGTGTGTGTGTGTGTGTGTGTGTGTGTGTGTGTGTGTGTGTGTGTGTGTGTGTATGTATGGATATATATATATATATAGATGTATATATATGTATGCATGTATATATATATATGTATGTATATATATATATATATTAAAGGAATGGTTGGAGGCTATTAGACGAGCCCAGCTATCCCTAGGTGTGCTAAATATTAGAATACCACACCCTACACAAAGAGGGATTTGAATTCGTGACCTGAGGGGACTTAAGACCTTCAGAGAGGCTGCTCTATCAACAGACACGATACGCGCACTCGCACACACACAGATATATATATATATATACATACACACACATACATATGTACGTACATATGTACATACATACATACATAGATACATACATACATAGATACATACATACATATATACATACATATACATAAAGATACTAACATACATAAATACATGCATGCACACATACATACATAAATGTGTGTGTTTGTGTGCGCATATACATACATACATACATATATATACTCATACACAAGATATCAAGATAAATTTAATACCTCATAAAGTCCTCCTTTTACATGTACGATACATATATATACACACATACATGCATACATACATACATGCATATGTAGATACATGCATGCATAACATACACATACATTTATATATAGACATATATATATATATACATATGTATATATATATATATAGATAGATATAGACACACACACACACACATACATATATATATATATATATATATAAAGGAATGGTCGGAGGCTATTAAATAAGCCTCAGTCATCCCTAGTTGTGCTAAATATTCGAATACCATGCCCTACACACGGAGGGATTCGAATCTGTGACCTGAGGGGACTTACGGCCTTCAGAGAGGTTGCTCTACCAACAGGCACGATACGCGCGTTCGCGCACACACACAAAGATATATATATATACACACACATACATACATACACACATATGTACATACATACATACACATAAATATGTATATACATACATACATGCATACATACATATACATAAAGAAACTAACATACAAAGATACATATATATAGAGACATACATAAATGCATGATTGCACACATACATACATAAATGTGTGTGTTTGTGTGCGCATGCGCATATACATACATACATATATATACTCATATACAAGATATCGAGATAAATTTAATACCTTATAAAGGCCTCTTTTTACATGTACGATACATTTATATATATACACACACACACACATAAATATGTACATATGTAAATACATACATACATACATACAAACATATGTATATACATACATACATACATATGTATATACATACATATACACATACATGCATACATACATATATACATGCATATACATAAAGATACTAACATACATAGATACATATACATAGAGGCATACATAAATGCATGCATGCACACATTAATATATAAATGTGTGTTTGTGTGCGGTGTTTGTGTGCGCATATACATACATACATACATACATATATATACTCATATACAAGATATCAAGATAAATTTAATACCTCATAAAGGCCTCCTTTTACAGGTACACCAACTCTCTCCTCTTCAACAACATATAATTCGTCCCATCCACTGCAAGCTGAAGAGTCTGAAGTTCTATAAGATCCATGTGGACCTTCACTACACTCCGCAAACTCCTTCCACCAATAAGAGAGCATGTCCTCCTCTCTCTACAAGATATGAATTTATTCGATGCAGATTAACACGCTAAAGCTTAAGTTACAATAAAAGGCAAGGTAAAGTTGAAGTTGAAGTTAAGGCAAGGTAAAGTTGAAGTTACAACAAAGAAGAAACACTAAACTAAAAGATAAGTTGAAAAACATGTCAGCTTCAGATCAAACTATACACCATCTAAAATGATGCAGAGCGGTCATATTTAAGCAATATCTATCAACATAAATGAATGTAGACTTCAACTTGGTAAGAATAGGAAACAAGAGGATGAAGAAAATAGAAACAGAAATAAGAAATAAGAGTGGATAAAACTGATAAGGGGAATATTTTCACGAGAAAAGAGTTAGGTGATTCCCATGCCTAGCCACTGTTTGTCATTGAATGCATACATATCTCGAATGCAGTGAGAATAAAGCTGAACAAATTAACCAAAAAATCTACCAATATAGAAAAAAAACATAATAAATTAGTTTGAGAGTGTAAACAAAGATTAAAACTGATTTTTCATTTATGAGAACAAAAAAAAAAATCATGCTGCCATGGTGAAGCTACTGTAGACTCCCCTGGGATAATTTTTATAGGTGAAGCATGACTATTAATCCTCACCCTCACTAGAATTAGAAATTCCCATCTGACGATTGAAAGCAGTACTAATCTAGAGCATGCAGAAGGAAAAAATTAATCTATTTCTACAATACAAGTGGCATCTAAAAGTGGCAGGCACTACTGCCAATCAAGTAGAGTGACCACTTAGCTTGCTAAAAATGTTCACATTGAAAAGGACGCCTTCAAGGAGTCGATTGATTTATAAATAATGTTCTCATTGAATAGCATTTTTTCAATAAAATCAAGGTCTCGCAAATAAATAGTTTCCTGCAAAGTAAAACTCCAGCTGTAGAGAAGTATTTTAGTAATGGTTGGAAGCTCAAAGGTGCGTAGCTTTGATAACAAGTCCTCAACATTAGAATTGGAATTAATAATCATATAGAAGCTAGAGATCATATTTTGAGGATCCTAGTTATAAAGTGGGTATGACATGGACCAGATGCACACGATCTGAAGAACAGGCTGCATTGCTGTCCTTGACCAAGAACCATACCCCAATGTTAAAGCCATATTGCTGCTTACAAAATTTCTCATAAAGAAAGTAAGGTAAATTCCAATGACATGAAAAAACTTAAAAAATAAAAATTAAAAAAAAGATGATCTATGTAAAAACATGATACTTAACAAATCGAAAGATGTATTGATGCAGACAATACTAGATCACTTGAGGCTAGGTTCTCTACTGCAGGATATTGCGCATTGTTGGGAGAAAATCTCATAACTTAGAGAAGAATGAAACAACCAGTTCTATCAAAATCTAATACTAAATTTAAATTCAAGACAATTGTTCAAGGAATTTGTGAGCATCTATGGATCAAAATCATGTTGGACGACTTAAAGGTCAAGCGAAAACTGAATGAAAATATACTAATAATAATAAATCTCCCATTAACATTACTGTCAATCCTGTACAGTATGATCGTACAACATAAAATGAATTGAATGCATAAATCTATTCTTAAAATAAATTACTCTGCTTTAGACCATAGATAAGGTCAAATCTTAAAAAATGTCTATTTTCTTCAATATAATTATCTATATATTTGTATTCTAAAATTTATTTTTAAAATTAGATATATCAAGGTAATGAATTTAAGCTTACTTAGATCCTTAGGACAAGGACAAATCCTGTCAAAATCATATGAGCATGCCCTTGGCTACATTAACTTGCACACACTTAGGTGCTATGATAAGCACAGTCGTAAATACTTGTTTAGCTTAAAGTCGGGTGCAGTTAGAATTTCAAATGTGTGGTTGTTATTATATGCTTATTTATACCACACGTTTTATGTTAATTTTTTTTTTGCTATGTTTATTGGATTTGAGAATTCACATTAGGATAGGGTACATGTGTTTTTCTACAAGGAGTCATGCTCACCAGGGATTAAAAAATAAAATATCATAATGATGTCTTCTGCATGTGATAACCATATGATTACTCCACCGATCATGATTTATTATACGATGTATTAAAAGAAATTTATAAAATTGATTGATTTGCACTCCATATATCCCAACAAAAAGGCAGTTTACCGACGTATTATCAAAGAACTTAGTAACCCCACATTCAAGAATATTATAAACAGGTTCAAGAATATTATAAACAAACTTTGAATGGTAGATATACCATTAAATTTAAAGGAGAGTATTGAAGGGTCACTGATCAAGAAAGGTTATATAAGAAAATACCTCTCCCTACAGAAAATGGAAAGAAGAGGCCACAGATTTTTCTATTGGCATCAGTCAGCAATCTCTAAATAATCAAATGTCATATAACTAAAAATGATTTTTATGTTTATTATTGTATTTTTTTTTTCTCAGTGTAGTTTTTTATATAAACACACATTAAAAGAATGAACACGCCAATTTTTTTAGCCATTTATTTTTATACAACTAATAATATCCTAAATTTTTTATATATATAATTAGAGGAATGATAGACGCAGACTATCGATTGAAGTCAAGGTAGCAGAGAATAGACATAAGCCATTTGGACACATAAAGATGAGTGAAAAAAAATGTAGGTCAATAAAATTTATGTATAAGGATTAGAACAAAAGAGGAATATACCAAAAATAACATCTATAAAAGTTCTGAAAAATGATTTGTTCATAATAGGTTTAATATCATATGCAACACTCACTAGGATTAACAAAAAAGGGTTCAAAAATAAGAGCAAAAGAGTTTTTAAAAAACTGATGATTATGATGATGTCATTATAATTTAAAAGGCATTTATATGCTGTCACACTAAATAGTACAATGTAATTAAGTCTAACATTCTCTCAAATCCTAATTAATTCAGGCAAATCATACTCCCACCATATACAGTTTAGCTTCGTTTTATCCGCTGCCATATTTTTTTCGTGGTTTATTTTATGTTGCCAGCATTAGTTTAAGTGTATCAATAAATAATGATGTTCCATATTTTGAAAAACTTTATCTGGTCCAATGACTCCAATCTCATCCTTTTACTAGGAATCAGTTCAAAGCAAACTATGACTAACTGAACAGCTTTACTTCTAACACTCCCAAAAGTCCACTGTTATATTATTTGATTTACATACATGCCACAAAGTTTCTATGTAATTACATATCTAATACCTAAAATTTTGATTTCTTACATTCTCATGTATGAAAGTGTATACTTCAATTTTTAGAAATTAGCGATAATAATATTTTTTATGGGATATGAAAGATTTGAGTGTTATAAATATAAATTTTAAAATTTACATATTTGATTTATAAATAAATAATAATTGTGTGGTATGTATATAAGCGCCCCCTAATTTATTTGTTATACTAAATTTTAAGTGTCAATTTCATAGACCCCTAAAGTCTATTGTAGTTGAAGTATGCGATATCACAACTGATCTATGGAATAAGCTATTTAATTCTACAAGGTTGAAAAGTACAAATGAATATGGATATAGATAGATTGATAGGAATTGTTTTAGATGTAATAATAAAAAATATTTTGGTAGAAATTATTTACAATTGAGAAGCATAGATAATTCACAACTTGAAAAGAATTACACCCCAATATCATAACATACTTCGTGTTGAAGATGGACTTAATATTTTAATATTTGATTTCATAGATGATGTATTATGAATATTCATATTTATTATATTTGTGAAGTACTCCTTCGCATTTGTGTGGTATTAAACATTGAAAAAGTTGAGTTAATTTTCAACAATTAACTAAAGAGTACAATGTAATTAAGTATAACATTCTCTCAAATCCTAATTAATTCAGGCAAATCATACTCCCACCATATACAGTTTAGCTTCGTTTTATCCGCTGCCATATTTTTTTCGTGGTTTATTTTATGTTGCCAGCATTAGTTTAAGTGTATCAATAAATAATGATGTTCCATATTTTTGGAAATCACATCACAAAAAACTTTATCAGGTCCAATGACTCCAATCTCATCCTTTTACTAGGGATCAGTTCAAAGCAAACTATGACTAACTGAACAGCTTTCCTTCTAACACTCCCAAAACTCCACTTTTAATCCCCTACTTAGGTGCAAGCCTATAAGCATGAATGATGTGGAATGAGAGTCAGTAATGCAAACTGCAAAATAATAGATCCAAAAGCACTAATTTTATGAGTTTTAAACTTTAAACTTACAAAATGGAAACATGCCGTTATCAACATATCATCATTAGGTTTACAGAGCCAAAAAATTGAAATGTATAATTCTACATTTTTTATGATAACAATAATACTGTTAAGAGTCGCTACAGTAATAATCCCATTACAAAAGCAAGGAATATTGTGATAAAATATTACTCTACAAAGTGATAATAAAAAAGATTAATTACACTCTAAGTACTAAAGGAACAGACTCCTTAAGTTACCATCCATCTCATGTAGGTTCCAATCTGGAAGGACATGCATGTGGATGGATAGTAATGATAAAGCCCCAAGTGAATGTATATTGGTCATTTTCTCGTCGAAGAATATTAAAAATATTGTGTATATGGTCACATAGTCATCTCTAACGGAGGAAATAACAAAGTTGTTATGGCAGGAACCTATGTAAACTTTAAATCGGAGAGCCTGAATGAAATCTTTCTTAAAAACATAAACTATCATGAAATATGGTTTGTAACTCAAAAGTATAATTTATAAATAAGAAAATGCAGCCATAATGTGGAGAATATAAACCTGTAAGAAAGAAACCTCAAGTGCAAGAGAATCTCTCACACTGAATCTGAAATAATCACTTTTCCCCACAACCTCGGTGAGAGGAACAGAAGCTGCAAGCTCTGCAAAATTACGGTTAAAAATGTTTTACAAAATATTTATCAAACAGAATACAAAATAAGCCATGCTAAAAAAGAAAAAGGCATTTGATTATGCTAACCTACCACAGTAAAATAGCTTGCTTTTATGTTATTGTTAGCTAATTTTAAAAAAAAAATTAAGAGCATTTTCTAAATTATTTCCACCAATACTCTTGACCATCTAATGAAGGTTGGCGATAGGGTGGAGGCAACTTAGGTGGCTTTGGACCAATTTAGGGTAGAAGAAGAAAAGAGCCTAGAATTTTGATAATGTGGGCTGAATCTCTAATATCATTATTCCATTATATTCTCAACATGAAAATAAAATGATTATATAATTTATACATAATTTAAGAAATTGTAACAAATTTAGAATGTTAATAAAATAAAACAAACATTCTGACGAAAGAAAGTAATAAAAATTCTAAATCAAACCTAAATCTAAAAACCAAAAAAAAAAAAAATACTATTTATTTTGATTTCGAAGTACCCTATGAATGGTGCCATCGTAACACAATAGCTGTCAATAAAGTCATAGTGTTATAAAGCCCTTGCAAGTCTTTGATTGTGAACATAGTGTTAAAATGCTTGTAAATATCTCAGGACTGATTTCTAAAAACCAATAAAAAATACAAAATATTTCCATCATCCTGCCTAACTAGAAAAACATCACCCTCAAAGAAAAGATTGATCGTCAAGAATTCAACAGCCCTCAATACATCAAATCCCCTGATTCCTACTTCTCCCCTTTCCAAAACGAAAATGATCTGCAATAATTCTTATCATTTAGTAAAATCTATCATGATGAAAATAATTAAACTGCCAAATCTCATCTAGTTTGGATTGACATTTGTTTGTAGCTTTTGATTATTGCTTTCGGATTATTAAAATCATTTCAATATTTCAACTACTTGATAATTTAATTTTCTTCATGAAAAAAATTATGTTAAAAAGAACACAAAATAAGCCATACTAAATAAGCCATGTTAAAAAAGAAAAAGGCATTTGACTATGCTAACCTACCACAGTAATATAGCTTTGCTTTTATGTTATTGTCAGCTAATTTTAAAAAAAAAAATTATGAGCATTTTCTAAATTATTTCCACCAATACTCTTGACCATCTAATGAAGGTTGGCGACAGGGTGGAGGCAACTTAGGTGGCTTAGGACCAATTTAAGGCAGAAAAACAAAAGAGTCTAGAATTTTGATAATGTAGGCTGAATCTCTAAAATCATTAATTCATTATATTCTCAACATGAAAATAAAATGATTATATAATTTATACATAATTTAAGAAAATGTAACAAATTTAGAATGTTAATAAAATAAAACAAACATTCTGACGAAAGAAAACAATAAAAATTCTAAATCAAACCTAAATCTAAAAACCAAAAAAAAAAAAAAACTATTTATTTTGATTTCGAAGTACCCTATGAATGGTGCCATCGTAACACAATAGTTGTCAATAAAGTCATAGTGTTATAAAGCCCTTACAAGTCATTGATTGTGAACATAGTGTTAAAAAGCTTGTAAATATCTCAGGACTGATTTCTAAAAACCAATAAAAAATACAAAATATTTCCATCATCCTGCCTAACTAGAAAAACATCACCCTCAAAGAAAAGATTGATCGTCAAGAATTCAACAGCCCTCAATACATCAAATGCCCTGATTCCTACTTCTCCCCTTTCCAAAACGAAAATAATCTGCAATAATTCTTATCATTTAGCAAAATCTATCATGATGAAAATAATTAAACTGCCAAATCTCATCTAGTTTGGATTGACATTTGTTTGTAGCTTTTGATTATTGCTTTCGGATTATTAAAATCATTTCAATATTTCAACTACTTGATAATTTAATTTTCTTCATGAAAAAAATTATGTTAAAAAGAATACAAAATAAGCCATACTAAATAAGCCATGTTAAAAAAGAAAAAGGCATTTGACTATGCTAACCTACCACAGTAATATAGCTTGCTTTTATGTTATTGTCAGCTAATTTTAAAAAAAAAAATTATGAGCATTTTCTAAATTATTTCCACCAATACTCTTGACCATCTAATGAAGGTTGGCGACAGGGTGGAGGCAACTTAGGTGGCTTAGGACCAATTTAGGGCAGAAAAAAAAGAGTCTAGAATTTTGATAATGTAGGCTGAATCTCTAAAATCATTATTCCATTATATTCTCAACATGAAAATAAAATGATTATATGATTTATACAGAATTTAAGAAACTGTAACAAATTTAGAATGTTAATAAAATAAAACAAACATTCTGACGAAAGAAAGTAATAAAAATTCTAAATCAAACCTAAATCTAAAAACCAAAAAAAAAAAAAACTATTTATTTTGATGTCGAAGTACCCTATGAATGTTGCCATCGCAACACAATAGTTGTCAATAAAGTCACAGTGTTAGAAAGCCCTTACAAGTCTTTGATTGTGAACATAGTGTTAAAAAGCTTGTAAATATCTCAGGACTGATTTCTAAAAACCAATAAAAAATACAAAATATTTCCATCATTCTGCCTAACTAGAAAAACATCACCCTCAAAGAAAATGATTGATCGTCAAGAATTCAACAGCCCTCAAAGCATCAAAGGTCCTAATTCCTACTTCTCCCCTTTCCAAAACGAAAATGATCTGCAATAATTCTTATCATTTAGCAAAATCTATCATGATGAAAATAATTAAACTGCGAAATCTCATCTAGTTTGGATTGACATCTGTTTGTAGCTTTTGATTATTACTTTCGGATTGTTAAAATCATTTCAATATTTTAACTACTAGATAATTTAATTTTCTTCATGAAAAAAATTATTCAATAGCATCAATCTCAATGTCATCCCCAGATACTCTTTTGCTTTCATCCACAGAAAAAACTTTTTTAAGTTCTTCAATTATCATTAGTAAATCTTCTTCCTTCATTTTCTCAAAAAAAAATTTATTTGCTTAAATCCTATTTCTAGTACAGGACCTCCTCTGAAATTTAGTCTTCATCATCAAATCATCTGGTTTTTTAAGTTTGATCTCTTGATTCTTTAATATTCATGGTTTCAAAAAATTTTATGAAGCACGACACTTGCATCTGTTAATGTCAACTTCAATCTGATCCTAATTTTCAGCAATCATTAAAAGTCAAACTTTTTAATCATCAATTTATCTTTTCTGGAACAAAAATACACCATAAGAAAATATTGCATCCAAAGTTCCAGTACCAATTTGATGTAGGACAAATACAGCTTTCATATAGGGATCTGAGAATAATAACAATTAAATCGGACAGCCCCATGACAACATGAATCATTGAATCCTCCAAAAAAAGAAGGATGCTTTCTAGAGTTGTGTCAGTAATAGAAGCAGATGTAAAGCCTTCATTCATCCACTCATCACAAAAATTAAAACGATTGAAAGGTTTACATAGAACTTAGGAGTCAAAGTTAACTCATATAAACGTAGGTAAAATCTAATCATAACCATGCATAGAAGGAGATAAAATACAACATAAATTAAACCTAAAAAATGTAAAACAAAATCCTAAATAATGGCGAATCTAAAGTATCCAGGAACAGCGTCAAAATGCTAGACAGTCACAAAGCTAAAATGCCACTATTCTGAGTCCTACTAAGTGATTTCAGCATATCAACAAAATTGGTACCTTAGCTGAATCCACTTGTTCACGATCATGTTCCATTTAAATGACAATAAAAAACTATCTTGTCCTTGAAACAAAAGGGGAAGAAACAATTTTAAGAGATCCAGTAATAGATAAGCTACATGTACCATTATATAAATTATCTAGCACCATGTGTACTCGCCCAACAAATAATAATTCCTCTTTGATGATGGTGATAACTTTTGCTTAAACTACTGAAAATATTGAGACAGTTACTACACGATAACCCCCATGTCATTTTTTATATAAGGTGGTAATAATTTGTTAGATTTCATTTTGAAAAGGAAAATACCCACACACACACACACACACAAATATAATGTACATATATACACATGCATGCACGCACAACCACAACACAAATAAAAAATCTTTCATTCTGAGTCCCGAGAGTTCCTTGACTTTCAGCATGAAGACCCGTAGAGGGCTTGACAGCGCCTGATCTTCATGAATGATCCTTAGGTGAAGTGCCGAGTGAAAGGGCGACTGCTCAACGGGGATGCCAAGAGCAACCATCAACGAGTGAGTGACTAGGATGAAAAGGAATTGATCTGAACTCCCTTCTGCCCTTCACCCATAAAAGTTCGATACAGGAACCTCTTGAACCTCTTTCTCTTACGGATCGGATAAACCGTGGGAACCAGACCTCCTAGGTCAATTATGGAAAAACAGTTGGGACGAGGTATGGCCCTGACGACCCGCCCATTTACCCTTTATCTGCTCTAAATCAAGCTGTGAAGGTCACAGGGGCTATGAGACCTGATTCAGCATAGGAATTAGTGTTGGAAGCCCTAGTAGTAAGCAAAAAATGAAAAGTAGCCCCAAGCTTATGAAGAAGCTCAAGATAGCCTCAAGATAGCCAAGATGGATAAGCCAAGATGGATGGAGTAGGGCTAGTCTAAGACAAGACAGACCGATCTCTATTCCCCTGCTCGCGTTTATAAGGTTTCCCACTCACTCTATTGAGTGAGAGCCCATGTTGGGTTCTGTAAGGAAGCATCTCGATAGGTCCGCAACCTGTGTTGTGGTTGATGCCCCACCCGAGCTAGAATTTCAGACTTGATTTGTCGGTTCTTCGTCCGAGCGGCCCCGTACAATCCGGCCTGAACCTTTGGGTAGGCTCCGCAGGATCAACAACCATAGCTGCACGGAATACGGTAGAATTCCCCGGTACAGTCAATTGGGAAGTCCCTCCGAGGACAACTCCCATACAATTCTTGCGAGAGTTGGAGAAGCGTCTACGGGTAAAGCACCGTATCCATCCAACTACTTGTCACCTACGCTCCGCCATCCATTCCAAGTTTAGGGACCTAGGTTATTGTATCTCGATCAAAGAGCTGGCGAAGGGGATGAGCGGAAGAGGTTGTCTACAGGACGCGGTTCAACTAGCGGAGACTCTTGGAACAGGTGTCTTGAACTTTAAAATTGAATAGGCAAGGACCTATTCACTAACCAATAGAAGGAAGCAAGAGAACACGAAATTGGGAAGAATGAATCGTGATTATAAAGCTTTTATCATTTTTTATTGAGGAGACCAGCTAGAAAGTCTAATTTCATGTCAGTCATAACTGAAATGAACCACAAGGTGGGATGATAGAATTTTTTTAACACATAAAGATTATCTATTATGTGAAGGGGAATGAACAAAAAAATATGGAAAACATCAAAAAATTTATTCGACAAACAACAGAAATAAGTTGGAGCAAATAAACACGCTCATACAGATTGTTAGTTCAAATTAATTTTAATAGTGAGATTCAAACTTTAAACCTCCACTTCGAAGGCCAAAGAAAATATCACCCAACTAGGGTTTGATTAAAGCCTAATCTAAGACAAACAGACAATTTATGTACTCCTTGAACCCAACTTCAACTAAAACTTTGTGTAAGTGTATGTGTATGTTAGTGCATATATGCATTTACTAAATTATAACTATATGCATAAATACACACAGGCATAATGTTTGATCTGATCTTAAGCTACATTGATTTTATCGAGTTTCAATTCAAATTTACTTTCATTTAATATAAGCTTGCCTCATTAATCAGCTTATTGAATTTGATCCAAGCTCAAGACAGCTTAATTTTCAAGCGAACTTCAATTTTCAACCTAAATATACAAACTTTACTTCATCTATGAATTAAGAAATCATAAATATTACAAAATTTAATATTAAAAACAATGAACGGAATAGTTTTGGAGAGGGAGTCAATAAAGAAAAATTAATTTCAAAGTCTGAAAGTATGCAATTATAGCACAAATCTCATGATATGCCAGTCCACAACTCAATTAAGCATAAGCGTGGGAGTTCTCACCAATAGGTACATAATAAATAGCCCTCTTCTCACCACTTGTATTTATTCCAAGAAAGCCCCACCTAGGATTTGCAATAAAACTAATGCAACTTTAAAATGAGTGCACCAAAAAGACCACAGAGTGGGAATATTGCTACTTTGTTAAGAAGAAAGGTGGAGATACATTTTGAATAAGTCTTTCAATGGACTATAGGCGCAACTACAAATATATAATGTAAACTACTAATTGGAAAAATCTCATAAATATCAAATAAGATATTTTAGCAGTGGTTTACTAGTACAAATATTTTCTACCAAAAGACAATAATTCAAAAGCAAACCAACACATTATATCATTCTAAGTCTCAATTTTTAATAGCCATGCCCAGTTATCCTCACACACATTTCGCTGGACGATGGAATTATTCTTTCATCATGAAGATAAAGCATGGTATATTGTCAATTGGTGATGAATAAACAATTGGATCTAAAGATATAGGTGAAAATTATGACTGACCATTAAGTAATGTCGTAGATCCACTTTCAAATAATTATTAGCACATCACACCATAACCCAAGAGGATCACGGCTTTCAAAACTAAACTAATAAGGGCTTAGATAGGCTTCATTGCATAATAAAAAACTTTCCCTCATACCCCTTCATTTCATATTGGTAAGGTACTGGGTTTGCATAACTCCATCATAAAGCCATCAATCCTAATTTTATATTGGTTACATAACTCTCTCACAGCCCCAATTCCAAATCAATTGGGATCATCTAGTCATTACAAATTATGGGATATCATTATAACATGTGTGAGAAAAAGAGAAAAATTAGGAACTTCTATGGATTCAAAAACCAATGCATTAGGGGTTGTCAGCTTTGAGCAGAGAAGTTAGAAATTGGAAGCCTCCACCATGATTGCGGACAATACAAATTTTGATATAGCATCATGGGGATTACCTTCAAAGAATCCATCATTACTTCCAACTAACCACACAATAAAGAAGGTCCAGCATATAAGTTGAGAGGGAAAAAAGAGAGGTGAGGAAAGGAGCGAACAGAAATACTTCCTGATGATCTGCTCGATCTTACATCCATAGATCAATCCACATATTGTGCAAGTCTATGAGAACATGAATATGACCCAAGAGGACAACCAAACAATACTAAGTAGATCTCAATATGAGTACCAAAAGAGGTTAACCATGTACCCAAGAGGCCAAACATGATGTTGAGACATATTTGATGAACTCAAAGGAGAATAAAAAAGGGATTCATTATGCATTAATTTGTTTGTGAAAGCAACATTCACTGATTGGGACGATTTATCCGTTTCAGCTTAATTCAATGTTGATCAAGCTATAATCAATCAAAATATACCAGCCAAGTCAAAAGGTTGAGCGTCTCATGCAAATGGGTGTTTCGCCAAAAATATGCAAAAGAATTTCGTCAACAAATAAAGATCATAGCTGGACTGGTAAATCAAATGTACAAGTTATTTGGCTAAATGAATGATGATTATATTTCATATAATCAAGGTCAAATATAAGATCATTATTTGAGTGATGAACTTATTTTCATGTTACTATTATTCCATTTTATATGGCGTTTAAAGAATCAAATAGCTTAAAAGAGGAAGCCTGATCCAGAAGTAGTTCCACAATTAAATCTAAACTAATTAGGTCGTTAAGCTATAATGAAAATGCTAAATTACAACAATAGCGCATTGTGAAGCAATTATAATATAATATAACAAATACTACAATAAGTTTTAATCCCACTAAATGGGGTCGGCTATATGAATCTTTTTTCTTCATAGTTCTATTGAGAGTCATATTTTCATTTAATTCTAATAAATTAAGATCATTTATTATACAACATGACCAAATCTTTTTAAAATAAGTTGAATCTAAAACATCTACTCTCCTAATTGGATCATCAGATAAATGATGTTTAATGTGACCAAATCAACTAAGGTGACTCTCTCTAATCATGTTTGCCACTAGAGCCACATCAACCATTTTACGGATATATTTGTTTCGCATTTTTTCTCTAAGTGTAAAGTCACTCATCCACCTAAGCAGTCTCATCTTAGCAACACTTAATTTAATTCCATGTTTATGTTTTATAGGCCAATGTTATGCGCCATACAGAATTGTGGGTCTCGCCATCTTATTAAACTTTCCTTCAAGTCTAGGCGGTACTTTTCTATCCCACAATAGGCCCGATGCAATCCTCCACTTCAACCATCCAACTTGAATTCTACTAATAACCATCACTCTGAACAATAGACCCCAGATATCTAAAATATTCACTCCTTTTAATGACTTGATCACCCATTGTTAACACCCCACCACTAGACCTATTACTATTAAAACTACATTCCATGTATTCAGTTTTAGATCTACTCAAACAAAAGCCATTATACTCTAAAATTGATCTCCATAATTCAAGTTTTTCCTGAACTCTTCTTCTACTCGAATGAAAGCCTTTAGACTCTAATGTAACATAATGAATGAGAAAAAAAAATTCAATTCATATTAGTTTTTTTATGTATAACCATGTGCTATAAGAATACATCAAATAATTTATATATGGTCAAACTTTTACATCAACCAAAAATAATTGCTTTAACTAAAAGCTAACTTTTTTCTCATAAAATTCAATATCACAGCATTCTAAATCTAATATTAAAAACCCAGGCTCTCTAATAGGAAGATATTGATAATCATATGAAGTGGTAACATATTTGAATGACAAATAAAAAAGAAACATAAAACAGATCTAGCATAACTAAAATTAGATCATAGCTTAACTTGAATTAAATTATTCAATGGGAAAGAGAGAGCGTTGACATTTACTAGTATCCATTGATGATCTTTCTCTCCCTAAAATACCCAAAGATACCTATTTTAATGATCAAAAGCAAAGAAGGGATGTGCACTCCAAAGGTGGGATTGGTTGTTCTAGAATTTACTTCTATCTTATGCGGTGATAGCTCGATAAGAATAAAATATCGAAGGGGGAACAATCTGCCATTCAGTCTCATTGTGATCCTCCAAATTGAATGTTCTTCCTATTCTTCACAATTTCGTGGACAATATAGAACAAATATATTAGCATTATAACCAGTGTGGAAACATGATGCACATCAATAATTTAATTGCAGCAACCAGAGCAAAATGATAACTATAACTAGTACAAGTATAAACAATGTGCAAGAGTATCATATTATTCATATATTTATGTTTGCTCTAAAGAAACTTAAACCATAGTGCACATTTTCAACCATGAGATAATGTAGCCCATTTATATGGATAACTCACGTCTCTCAGCAAGAGGAATTTTGCAGAAATACCAACGAACATTTTCACCATCAGAAGGGCTCCTTGTCTGAGCACGGTATTTTTGGCGACCCTTGCATTGTTCAATCAAATCCTCCAACCTGGCTATGTTAGAAGGAGTGTTCTTTAACAAATCTGGAGAAGTCTCCACCTGATTAATTTCTGAGGACATTGCGCTATTCTCATGTTCCATCATAGAGACATTTGAATTATTCATCAAGATGGTCCTGCAAGAAGAATCAAAAGCGCTTGTGTTGAGAACTACATCTAAATACAAGGCTATCTGGACAAGCAGAATAATTGCAAGGAAAATTTTCATCGAATTGCCACAAAAACAAAACTAAATTTTTGGATCTCCAAAAAACAAATAAATTAAGAGAAGAAAATTTTAATTTACAGGGAGAACAAAGTAGATGCGGAAAAATGAGCAAGGCTTGATAAACAAAAAGTGAATCAAGAGGCCATTTGAAATAAAAATTAATTTAAACAAGAAACCTTAATTATTCTGAAAATGTTGTGAAACTCTGTTTGAAAGTTCATGTAGTTTTGGCAATTTTAGTGTTAATGTTTGAATTATGTTGAACACTCAAAATTTTTTGACAAAACAATAGTTCAGATTGAAATTATATGACAGTTCTGCACTTTCAGCAACAGCTTCGGAGCTTCCAAACATAGTTTCAGTCAAAACTTTAATAAAGAAAAAGGTAGCAGTTGAAACTGAGGAAGCCGAGATCTTTGGCAGTATGAGGACTGGCTTCAGCTAAAATTGATGAAAAACTAGCGGAAGAATAAATTTTTGCTGAAGCTTAAAACCATATTCTAACATATTGAAAAGACAACATTACAAAATATTTAATGGCGCCGTTTTTCCTCCTACAACAAATTCTTCACCAAATGGCTAAAAATTAATAAATTGAAGCATTGTAATAGCGTATCAGTGGTACTGCCCAATTATGCGAATAATCAAGCACAGAGTTCACCAAGTAGGATAACAAATATCATCATCATCAACGTCATCATCCCATAAAATACCCATCATACCGGACAAAGCCCAAACCACGATAAGAAAGTAAATTCGAATAGGGTTACAATGACGACTCCTCAACATAAACAATACAAACATGTAAACGGAAAAGACAACGACGACGCTGCAAAAAATACAAAAAGAAAGCAACACAAAACACAAAAATGGCTCTCTAGGAAGAGAGCGATGGATCCATGAGGGCAGGAAGCATAGCCACCAGAACATGAGCATTGTGGACTGGACAGCAGTTGGAAGGCGCTTGGGGCGGACTGGACAGTAGTTGTAAGGTATTGAGACGCTGGACGGCGGTGGGAGAAATCTGGTGGGCGGGGCAGTGGTTGGAAGGATGGAGAGCACGGTAAACAGAGAGAGCCGGAGATTGGAAGGAAGAGGGAGAGTAGAGAGGCAACTCGTTCCCAACAGAGATCGGAGGTAAGAGAGAAAAGAGAAAGACAAACTGTTGCAAATGGAGAGAGCGCGAGAGAGGAGCAATTGAGAGATGCGATCAAGAGAGACGAGGGTAGAAGAAAAGTGAGAGAGAGAGCAGCGGTGAGAGGTAAGCGCGAGGTGATAGGTAAGTACTAAGTTCGCGAAAAAACGTGGGCCACTTGGTCGAACCCCCGGCCAGCGTTTAAGATAGATTATTAAAAAAAGCAACTATGTCGTTGTTTCCGAAAGCTTCATTCGCCGTTTTCAAAATGCGTCGCGCCAAATAAGCTGCCCCGAACGGGCCCTAAGTGGGCTTGCAGATTCATAAAACCAACTCACAATAAATTGTTAAGGTAAACATTGTGAGTATATTAATTAATAGAATAATGCAACCACTTATATGAGATCAGGAAGAAATTTCCTTTCGTTCAAATTTAAAAAGAGTCATAACTAGATTTTAAAATAACACTGGATCCACGGCCATTACCTTTGCATCTATAACAATCCAAGAATTTATAAATGGCAGCTTTCCATCTATGATAATTCAGTAATATTTCATTTTTGCAGTATAGCTAATTATAGATTCCATAAAGAAAGACTAATTTTCAGGTTTATTTCTTACCTAATTATTTGTTGTTATACCTATTAATGTACAACATTTTTTTACAAATAAGAAATATTTTAGGTCATTTTCAAAAGACTCAAAATCGCGAGCTTGCCTTACCGTCGTATGATTCCCTTTTCTAACTAAATCTTCCTCCCGGATCATAAAAATTTTTATGATCCGACGAAATGATCCGAAGAGGAGAGGAATCGAAAAGATATGATATACGACAAAAGTTATACAAATAAATTTAAAAAAAAAAAAACAATGAGGGCTTATGTAAGATAATCTTCGAGTGATAATTCAAGGATGTACATCCAAAAGATATCGGATTGAAATATCTTGAAACACAATCCGCGAAATGAATCCCTACATAAGTCACCCATGTAACCAGAGAGCCAAGTTTTTATGTTTGTTACGGATTCAAGAGTACTCCCAAAGAAACGTATCCATCAGGTCAATTACATCTTTAGGAATGCTCAAAAATACTGTCGATAAAGAGTCTTGCTTACATTATTTATGATATCCAGTTAATTGAAAAATCAAAGGATTTTTATCATCTCAAGCGGGAGAATCTCGATGCTTTCGATGGCTACACCGGACTATAGGGCAAAGGGTGAATCACCGTATCCACTACTGGCGGCAGCGCCTAGTCACGCAGGGCCCACGAGACAAGATCAACGATATTTCAAAAAAATGACATAGCTCAAAGGAAGTGTCAAAGGGAAGGAGAGAAATCCTTAAACAAGTAAAGGTAGTTGAGTCTGGATAACATGGATCTGTCATTTCAAGTTACAGAGACCCTAAGTCTACCTGGTCGTGAAGATAGTCGACCCAACCCGATCAGAAACCACTTGTTACTAATCCATGAATTGTGTCATCCAAGGGAAACCTGGTAGCTCTAAGGTCTGAGAAAAAAAAAACCTGTAATCTCTTATGACCCTATAAGTGGTGGAAAAGGTGAAAATGAGATTTATATTCGTCAATTAAATGAAAAAGATACTGCTGGAATGAAAGAGGAAGGAGGTTCGGCTACAGAACAGGAACCGTCCCACAAATGACTTATTCCCAATCTGGGTCGGGGACACTCTAGTTGTGTTAGACAACTTCTTAGGTAGAAATCTTATGCAATTGAAGGAGCACGGGGGCTCCTCCTCAATACATGTAGAATGATGCAATTATTTGCAATTCAATTTAAATGCAGAGGCTCCATTAGGGATGCTTGGGAGATATTCATACAATGCAGCCTATTTTAAAACCGGCTTGAAGGCCATACAAGAAAGTAAATCATAAAATAATGCTCATTTTAAAGTTGGGATATTTTAATCTTAAATTTTAATTTATCTTGATTTTTTTATTATTAGGATTTTTGCAAAGGATAATTTAGATCATTAAATAGCATAGATTGTATTTTTGTATGAGCCCAAACAAGCCACAATCAAGAAAGAATAAATGGCAAGCATACTGCGCAAATTAAATCAAGCCAAATGAATATATAAAAGGTCCGGCTCTGCATATACATGTCTAATCTTAAAGCTATACACCAATAAGAAATTTGTACGAGACACAAGCAAGCTGCTCTAGGTCTTTGTCATTTGATTCGGTGTGTCAATGCCTCGAAACCCGTGCTCGTACATTATTTTCGATACAGACTCCTTAAAGACTCTAAACAAATACATTAAAAAGTTTAAAAAGTCTCGACCTGCAGAAGAGTTAGTACGAGTTATATTCATGCAACGAACAATGAGTCATTTCTGGCGGGAGGGGAGCTTAATAGCACCTAAAAAAAGAGAGCTTTTAAATCATTACTTACTCCTCCCTTTTTTTTATCTAATTTAGGTAAGGCTCCCTGCACAAAAAACCACCCCTAATTATACTAGTAAACATACAAAGGCAGCACACAAAGAATGTTTGGCTATGGCACAAACCAAAGAACAATAATCAGGACATCAAAAAGACTACATAAGCATCCTAGTCTTAGCCTAGCAAATCATCTATCGCTCGGGTTGTCAACTTGGCTTGTTGTTCGCAAATAGCTCGCCTTCAGCTCGTTAAGCACCTCGTGTTCGGCTCATTCGTTAAGCTTAAGAAGTGATTCGAACACGAATAAATTTTTAAGCTCAAAATATAAACGAGCAGAACAAGAACAAATATTTGTCTGCTCTTGTTTGGCTCGAATTGGCTCGAAAAGAAATAAATATAAATATATTTAGATACATACCACCCAATTATTATATCGCATAAGAAATATATTTTCATTTTGGACATTTACATACATACCACCCAATTTTTTTTACCTGACCCAGCTAGAACCAATCTGATGCTTCGAAAAACAGCATGTCATTTGGGGCAGCAGTGTTATTTGTGTGTTTTTGGCAGCAATAACATCGCAATAACATCACAATAACAACGCAATAACAAATCAAATTTACTCGAATAAAACCGCCGCCAAAAACACGCCAATAACACCGCGGGTTATCTCAAATAACATCACAATAACACCGCAACAACACAGCAAATTAACTCGAATAACACCCCCGCAAAAATACGTCAATAACACTGCAGGTTATCACAAATAATACTGAAACAACACTCGAATAATACCGCAAATTTACTCGAATAACATCGCCACAAAAAACACTCCAATAACACCACTGCTTACCTCAAATAACAGCGCAATAACATCGCAAATTTGCAGCAGCTGTGTTTTTGCGGTGTTATTCCAGTGTTATTTGAGGTAATTTGCGATGTTATTGGCGTATTTTGGCGGGGGTATTATTCGAGTTAATTATGATGTTATTGCGGTGTTATCATGGTGTTATTGTATTGTTATTTGAGGTAACCTGCGTATTATTTGTGTGTTTTCAGAGGTCGTGTTATTTGAGAAAATTTATGATGTTATTGCGGTATTATGCAGACGAAAAACACACAAATAACACCGCTGCCGCAAATAATATTTTTTTATGATTAGTTATGAGCACTATTAATATTTTTATTATGTAAAACTTTGTATGAAATTTGCTCTTGAAAGTTTTTTTGGTTAATCAAAGTTTAGTGGTTAAAAGTAAATTAATAATAAAAAATTAAATAAAATTATTATTTTATTCTTATTTAAAAAAGTAATTATTATAATAATTTTATATTCTAATGAGTCAATTTTGAGTCGGACA